AAAAAAAAATTCATGATTTTTTATATACGGGAGAAATTAAAAATAACAAAGATATATCTCCAGTATAGATAAATATAGGGGTAATTACAAAAATGTCACTTTTTGTGTGCACATTTGCAAGAATGCCATTTAGGGGTGTGCCTATTTGCAAAAATGCCACTAATTATAGATTTATAAAGCCTATATCTTAAAATTCTAAACTCTAAAAAATGTTTTGACCCCTAAAACCCCCTTAAAACCTCATAACTAAACCCTAATAGAACATAATTAACCCAAACATAAATGATATAAAGAAAAAATAATTTTGAAAAAGTGGCATTTTTGTAAAGATTTCAAAAGTGTGGCATTTTTGTAAAGTGGCACTTGCAAAGTGGCATTTTTAAAAATTTCTCATAAATATATTGATAAATATATTTTATTTTACAAAATTTAATTTGCATAATACTTAGACTAAATGCATAATTTTTTTAAAATGCCACTAATTGAATATACATTTGGTGAAAAAATCATATGTATTATTCAACAAGGATTTTAAAGAATATGTCATTTAAATTAACTAATGAAAATATTTTAGTTAAAACTATATGTTATAGTGGAAATCTCTATATGTTTTTATTAATTTTGTAACATAAATCCATTAATATATATTTTACCGAGTTAAGTTTAACTAAATGTAATATTTAGACTTACTACATCATCTATTTATTTTAAATAAATTGATATATTAAAAAGCTTTTTAGTATTATATTTGTAAGAATTTATTTATTTGTAGATGATAACTACACTTACAAATATTTTTACATTTTTATTATTAGAAAACATATATTTTTTGTTTGTTACGTCCGACAAATTTATATAAATCTAATATTTATTTGATTTATCGCATACTCTACTATTTACACAAATAATAAATTTCAATTTGACACTTCAAATAAATTGAAATTAATAACATTTGTATTAGTTTTAATATTTTATGCAAAATTGATCAAAGCATATGACATTGAAATATGTTTAGTAAAAATTTAATTTTATTACATTTATACACAATAAATTTCATTTTTTTGTACGTTTA